TCAATATATATATCAATAAATAGAATGAATAGATAAGGGCGGGTATAAGAATAAATCGAATATCGAAATTTTTGCAGTTAAAAACTATATTGTCTCGTATTGTAGGGTAGGGTTAATAATATTACCACCATACCGAAATTTCACATTGGTCACAAATATATATCGAATTAAGTAAGTGTTAAAGCGATCTCGATCATTCGGGTTCATTAAAAGACTTATGGGCGCTCCTAGTACCTAAAATTTAATCAACTTTCCATTATTCGTCGCAAGTGTTCAGTATATAAACTTCGATGTCATATAAGTATATTCCTATTATTATTATTATTATTATTATTATTTTACATATTTCGCTCTTCTTTACTGGATAGAATGAATACTCCTCGCTCTTATCTGAGTTTTACTGTGCATGTGTATGACTGTGTATACCCATCTACATCAAATACAATGAATGACCTAAATGTACGCAAAAATAAACATGATTTTAAGTTCCTCAACCTTTAATGCTATACGGCATATGCACACTTTCTGTTGCTCCACAATTTTCTAATGATCTTTGAATAGAAAATAAATGTTTTCTTTATTATCATCATATATGCATACGAATACTGGGTATAGGTTGTTGTGTTGTACATATGGTTACATAGATATATATATATATATATATATATATATATATATATATGTGTGCTGAATGTGAATGAATTGTGCACATATATGTATATACATAATATTCCCACATCCGGTTGCACCGACGCATAAAAGTAAGTATGTGTTTATCTTAACAAGATTGTTTTAGTCGTCGTTATACAATATGAGTATGAGATTTTCTTTCTATTTATTTAATTATGCTGAATGTTCGAAATATTCTACTTTGCAATAATTAAACTTTATACCACATTATTATAAACTATATATATATATATATATATATATATTTATTTATTTTTTGCAATATTTATTTTTGTTAATTTATTGCTATCTGTTGATAAGTTTAATTTAATATGCTAATGCCTTACACTAAAATCAAGAAAGTGCTTGAGATTTGCTAAAACTTTCTATGAAAATTTCATATTGCCTACATTTAGGAGACTGTTTTAATGTTGTTTTCTACACGATTAGTTGTGCAGAAAATACAAATATATATAAACAAAATAAAAATAAAAACCAAATAATTTTTTACTTATATTCAGCTTTGCCGGATGCTATATTCCCATCCGACTCATTTCTAAAAAGCGTAAAAAAAAAAACAAAACTTCTATACATGGTTAGCTTGATTATATTCATTTTTGCAGAACATATCTAACTGTTTTTTTTTTTACACGGTAGACGAGTTTCTTAAGCAACCGTCCAAAACAAATAGTGCAAAAAAATGCATGCGGCATTTAGTAAATTTGGAGTTATGTTCCACAACTATAAAAGACCGTGGAAGATAAAAAAATCTCTACATATTTTCGAAAAATAAGCGTGCAAAAAAAGCTATAATAAAATCCATATTTTACGTATTTATATAGCACGTATTTACGTATGTATAAAGCAAAACAATTCATTATTAAAAAAAAAAAAAAAAAAAAAAATTAATATTAGTGCACAATGAAAATTCAGTCCAAAAGTACAACATATACAAAAAAACATCAATATCGCACTCATCACTATTTGATATCAAGCGTGTACGTTTATTGCGGAATGGGCCAAAAATGCTATTATCAGTAAATATATCTGACTGTCGGACGTTATTAACGGCCTATGTTAGTTTTTTTTTTTTTTTTTGATTTTTTAATTAAAACCCATAGCCGATAGTCTTAGTTGCTAATGATAATCCTATTTGTAATCCTAGAATTTATTTCTTTGGTCTAAATAAATTATAATATCCTGCGAACACAAGTAAATTCGGTCCTCAACTCGATTTAAAATGGGATAAAAGAAAAATTGATCATAAGTTCGGGCATTTCCCAATTGTAGACCAACTCAATAACACATGTGTGAACGTAAACCGGTGATCACGGTATTTCCCCCTTATATTGCATTTTGATGCTTCCCGAAGACATTGTCAAAATTTTGATTCATGCCAGAGCAAGATATTCGTGTCAAAAGGTATATTTGTTGTTATTTTTGTAAAACAGCTCACCAAAATCGGATTAAAGACACCCGTATATAAAAAAGGAGTTGGGCGTATGTATATGAAAACTTTGTGTATTTGCATAATATGAGTTATGAGCAAGAAATGCAAAGAGCGGGCATGTCCTCCGACGAATTTGGCCCATTTTCAATGCCGACAGTAGGAACTTTCAATATTTTTGCCAAATTTAGAGCCGATAGGATCTAGTTTAACACAGATAGACAGACAGACAGACAGACAGACAGGCAGACAGACGAATGGAACTGACATGCTTCAATCGTTGGAGAATTTGATATTGAACAAAAGAAAATATATTTCATGGAGCCTTTGAAGCTTCCTTCTAGCTGCTGCCAAGTGGTTATCTCCGCTTTCTGCGATGGGTATGAAGATTTTAGATTTTTAGATCGCTTAGTCGATAATAGTGAGGAGTGAGGGAAGGGAAACCGATTGATAGGAGATTTGTACAGGTGAACACTGACTTGGTTGTCGCGATCCTTCTCTGTCCGGCTACTCATACGAAGATTGATCTATATTGACCTACATATTACTTATTTATAGCTCTAAAATTATAAAAATTATTTTACTTACTACATTTCAAGTAAAATTCGTACTAAAGTAAACAAATTCTTTTTCAAACGAAAATATAAAGAAATCGAAATTTGTTTTTAACATAGTCGAATGGAAGTTCGCTTTCGATTTAGGTAAGCGATGGATTAGAGCAAAGAAGAAAGTTTAACGTTTTACTTTTTTTTATTTTTTTTTTTTATATAAATAAGTACATCCATGAATTGCAGACAATTGAAATGTTAAATAAGTGCATATATAAGTTGTTATTAATATTAATAATAAAAATAATTATAATAATAATAATAATAATAATAACGCGAATTAATAATTTATTGTTTTGTTTCTTTTAAAATTAATGTTCAATATTTTATTGACATTTTATTATGATTATTAAATATATGAAAATTGTTTGCATTTGAAGCCCATAAATATCCTGTAAACCAAACACAATAACACGTTTCATATTGAAACACAATAGGGAAAAACTGAAGCAAAACAAATACGGCATAATTAATAATTATTATAAAAGTAAACATTTTTTTTTTTTTTTAATTTTGTTTTTTTTTTTTTTTTTTTTTTTATTTATTAAATATGTATATAAATGAATAGCCCACAACTAAATGAACAATTTTGTAAAATTTTGTTTAATTAAATAATAAACAAAAAAGGAATAAACACACATACGGCCATCTCTCGCACATGGGCGCACGGGCACACACATGAACGAACAAAAGTTAATAATAATTTGTTGATAAAGGGAATTTATTGGCTGTTCAATATTTACACGCTTTTGTAATTATTTGTGGATCGATTAAAAATACTTTAATTAATTTAAAAGAATTTCATTTGTGTTTTTTCTGTTTTTTTTTTTCTCATTACTATATAAGCAACGATCTGCTAATAATAGAGGAGAGAACAAACATTAAAAGGTATGAATAGTTTTTATACTCAATGCCGTAAGGTGGAAGTGTATAGGATATCCTTCTCTGTAAATATATTCTTCATTTAGATGAGATTATAAATAAATCGATTTACATAGGTCCGACCTCACCAACCATGACATCTTAAATTGTAAAAGCCATGCTAGTTTTTTCATTTATCTGAGGCCCCTGAAGCAAATCCAACGGTGATTACGAGCGTAGCAGTGATGGCCAGAAATAAGTTCGGAAAGATATAGAGTTAGCGAGTAGTGGTCGCAGCGGTTAATAGCGTTCGCAGCGTAGTTACAACCAAATGCACTCTATCCGCGAAGACTGACCTGCTAGTCGCGATTCTTGCCTACTCGGTTACGCATCCGAATTGGGAAAAGACTTTCTTGAATTTTGCGATGATTTCGGTTTTTTATCGAAATCATGGAAAGTGCAAATCGTTTAGATATTCGTGAAAGAACACGTAGGAGCAATCGAATGTTTGACTTAAACACATTAAGAGTTGCGAAATAGGCTCAGTCTCCCACCTTGGCATAGAGGTATGCATGTATAACATGTTTTGGTTGTGGCAATTACTCAATGCTCACCGCATCCTAGAATACAGTGAGAGACAGTAAGAGTTTTTCAAACATTCCTTATTAAAATCCATAATTTAACGCCCAGGATAGACGATCTCGGGAAATTGTTAAAGCAACTGCTATGTTTGAATGTTGTCTATCAGTTTCAAGTTACGCGCCTAGCATAAATGTAAACTTTTTAAATATGAAAGGCTCAATACTAAAAAGTATTGAGCCTAACGCTATGATTAGCGTTTATTTGTTCTGACTGTTAGGGCGCTATAATGAGATGTCCATTAAGGAAGGCACTATTCCAAAAATGCACTACTCCGAAGATTTCATTCATAATTCGCCTGCCGGACGGACATAATTTTTTTGTTTTTTATCTCATTAATCATTTTTATCGCCGTAGATGTACACCGCCCGACGTGTTTTTGTAGGAAAAAAAAAATTCTTTTTATAAATTTGTTATTTACTTTAAATCTTTTAATTATCATTTCTTCCACAATGCAAAACTAGTGCAATTTTGATGCATTTTGGTGCAAGATTTTTTTTTTTTTTTTTTTTTTGTAATAGAAGTAGAGATTTTCTAATTTATATACTGAAATATGTTGTATAGGTTTTTTTTTTTCATTTTTATTTTTTATTTTTATTTTGTTTTTGGTGCAAAGAGGTGCTTTAGAGAAAACTTAGAAACTTTCTTTTAGTTATATTCAAAATTAATTAGAAAAAAAAAAGGAAAAATAAAATTAAAAACAAAAAAAAAATAAGAGGGAAAAATATATTGATTAGAAGGGAAAAATCTGAACGCATTTTAAAACCGATACATACCCGAGCTGGTGTCGAATCGCCACTCACCCTATGACCACCCAAATTATTAACGACACATGTAAAAGTGGCATCACGCCCTTGTGCCACAGTTACATTTTCCAATGGTATAACAAAATCCGGTTCGAATGCACTGACTGCGGTGACCGATATAGTAGAAGACGATGCAAGACCGGTAGCGGCAGCAGCAGCAGCAGCAGCAGCAGATGCGTAGTAAGTGGAGGAGGAGTAGAGTTTGTTGGAAATGCAAAAATCTTCATACATTCAATTCAATTCAATTGATGATGTAGTTTAAATAGAGAAAGGTTTTATAAAACACAAAAACAAAAATCATTAAACTGATGAAGCACAAGTAAAACTTAAATATTTTCTTTTTTTTCTTGTTTTTTTTTTGTTTTTTTTTTTTTTTTGTTCTAAATTATTGTTTTGTATAATGTTGACTGGCTGTTGTGGTTGTTATTATTGTGGTAGTTGCATAAAACCAAAATCGAGCAACATAAATCGAAATTGATAATTATATATATACATATATATATATATACATATATATATATCTATACATATATATATATATATATATATATATATATATCTATACATATATATATATATACATATATATTTGCATTCACACATACACACATTCGCGCATAAATATAGGTATACATATATATATATATATATATATATATATATACATATTCATATACATATGCCTACAAACATAGGTAAACACGCCCAGTCATAAACGCATCCATACAAAGTTATATATTATACTATATATATATACAAAGTTATATACAAAGATAGTACGTGAAATACTTACCTATACAATTGCATAATAAAAATATTACAAACAGATGCCATCGTATAATGTTGTATTGCTGGCTCTTTAAATGCAAACACAATTTTATCATATATTGTAGACAACAGGGGCAATAACTTCGATTTATCATCTTGTTAACCAATTCAAGAGCATTTCTTAATTTTGACAAGTTGTAACAGTTGTAAGCAGATTATTTCAACACAAGACTCGATCAGAAAACCTATAAATGATATATGTAAAGAGTATAAAGAAAAACATATTAAATTTTATGACATTTTCTTTTTTATAACCATTTAGCTTTAATTGTTATTTGGGAAAATTTCCCAAATGCATTTCATTTCCCATTATACGATATCCGATTTAACAGCAGGTTAAACGAAATGTACGAAACAATTATTTGTCTGTTAGACTTTGGTCGAATCTTTTAGATCCTAGTTTCAATTTGAAAAAAAAAAAAAAAAATTCTTTTTATTCTTAAATTCTTTAATATGATAAGATTGAGACGATCAGGCTAGCGATAATAATGTTTTAATGCCCACTATTAGGAGAGAAATGATAGACATTTTCTTGTTGAAACTTCAATCTCTCCGCTTTCTGAAATAGTGCGACTTATTCAATTCGATGAAAGCTAGATTGTGATAACCTTTGGCATCAATTGAAACATCAATTGAAAGTCTGAAGTTAATCATTTACCCTGATTTTTATATATAGTTATGTTAATTACACTTCAATCTCTTTTAAGCAGAGCTACAGGAATTGAACCCATGTCTAAATGACATTATTTTACCAGGCTCGTGTCAGCGTACGGTTAGCATTAGGTTAGCAATAGGTTCGTTGAATGAACTCAATCTCTTAGTGGCATAGCCTTGAAGTCTGACGCGTTAATAATATTTTACCATTTTCGTCCTCATAGTCGCCGAATTCCGTGTTTTTTTTTTTTTTTTCTTCATGGCCTTTACAGCTTTTGATGACTTCACTTCAGAACTTATTACGGGAACTGTGTTTTCTTTTTTAGGTGACTAGGTATTTTAGGTATTGCTCAAGCTTATTAATGCCTCCGTTCTGAGCTTAAATAAATGAGCGTTTCCCACGGATGCAGTTGACTGTTACCCATCCTCTAATCCAGTTAATATAACCTTCCCTAGAGAGTATTTAGTCAAAAAAAAAAAAAAAAAAAAAAAAAACAGGAGAACTTTTAATTGTATTTATTGTTGTTACCACAAAACTGTTGTTAAAATAACAATAAATACAGACATGTACAAGAATACCGTTCACATTTCACAAGACAAAGTTTGAAATCTAACTTAAAAACTTGTAGAACAGTGTGCAGGCAGGTGTTTACTATTATAATTCATGTAGACAAATAAATGTATATGCATATGCATATATATATATATATATATATTACATGTATGACTATAGAGGAATGTAAACTTTACTGTGTCTATAGTTTTTTAAATGTTTATAATCATGTAATGCAGACAAAGGCTTTATGAAACAAGCAAAATGTAGTTACGGAGGTGGCCAGATGTGCGAATTACTACTATGAAACTGAAGCTATGTAAACGGGTGTGGAAAGGCGAGCAATGGCAAGAACATCGAGAAAGGTCTACCATAAAGTCTGTCAATCGTTAAATCTATTCTTGATATAAAACTGTTTGTGGAAAATCGATCATATAGTGTAGCATACACTAGCCGATGATCATTACGTAGTAGCCAAACACCGAAATATTCTTACATTTTCGTAGACGCATAGGCCGCATAGTCGAGTCGGTGCCAACGAGGTTTCAATTCCAGCGCGATTCTACCCATACTTGGTCAAACCTATACCGAGTGCTTACTCGGTAAAGGTGTAACATTTTTCGATTGGATGCATACCCACTAGTCTACGGCCGTCATTCCGTACTATTCGTTTCCCTTTCGGTCCATATTTCTAACCATCTCTGTGTTCGGAGTACAGGGAACATTCTCTCATATTACATAAGAAAATGGAAAAACAAATTGATATTTGCGGAGACAGGTACAGATGCTGCAAAAAACTAACAAAATTGATTTGTAAGGTTTATCGCTGCTGTCATCAGATCATATGCAAGCTTTGCTAGCAATAAAAACATACCATCTCCTATGCCTCTAAAATCTTTTCATATTTTTAACAAACAAAGTGATTTACGTTTGCTTCCTGTTAAACACTTAAGTAAGACAAAAGCGACCTGATTTGTTGGAGTTATTAGTGACGAATACGCCTTAGCTATCTAAAGAAAACAAAAAAAAAAAAAAATATATATATATATATATATCAAGTATTCTCTCCACAGCGTTTCATATGCTTCTGTTGGTATCATTTTCACTGATTTTTGACGGAAATCACTACGCTATGGTATCCGGAAAGTTTGCAAGAAAAACGTTAAAGTTACCAAAAATAACTATTTTTGGCTTATATTTCTTTTCAAAGTTTTTGGACGTTGCAGTGGAAAGTGAACGAAAAACGATTCGCGACATACATAAGGCGTATATTTTGAAAGTGACTTAAGCGTATGTTTTCAAAGTTTTGCTGTTTACTATATATACATAGGGTTTCGCAATAGAAGGGAGGTGTCATTTTGAAATCTTAATATACAACTATCGTTGTGATGACATTTGATGCGAACAAATATATATTAAGAGATTTGCAGATCCATTCGCTGCACATTCATTGATTGGATACTGAAAGTGCATCGATACGATGACGGTTTTAAAAAACTATCATTTTACACTATGCCACATTTGTGATACAACAGTATATTAAACTCGTCCGGACTTGAGATAGATCCGCCGTTTATAATGTTGGCAGATACCGACGGTCTGTCCGTCTGTCCATCTAGTATCGTTGTAATTGTAGTTTTGATGAAATTTGCTATACCTACATGTTTCGGCCCAAGAACGAACGCTATTCGGGTGAACCATTTTTTCGGACGACTTTTTCGGATCGCTTTTTAGACCACTTCCCATAAAACGCGTATTTAAAAAATAATTGCTTTAAGCGAAATGGTGTAGGGTATTCAATGGAGGGCCGTATCCCACTACAGCGTTTTTTTTTTTTTTTTTGTTTTTATCTGTTTAAATACATATACAACAAAATTGATCTCTTCTGTGACTGCGAAAACCTAAGGAGAGTAGCGAAGCAACCTCTGCCGCCGGGATAATTATAGTTTGGTTTTTTGAGTTGGCGGTCGTAGTGCTTCAAAAATTCTGCTAATTCGACTCTTGAAATATATGCTAGAGACGTGGATGACATATATTTTCAACAGCCCAGCACCACAAATCCCACAGTGCGTGAAACATTTGCTTTGTTGCGTGTTTTTTTCAAAAAGGTTATCCTCTGTTGAAAATACGTTGCTATAAACATGGAAAGATAACTTGGCAGCATGTCCTTTCTCGGAATGGGAAGTCTCCATAGAGAAACTATCGGAAAGTTGCACTATTTTGCAAAATAACATGTGTGGGAACGACAGAGTTTTCACATCTGGCAAATGGTCGCATCGCGAGGGACCATTAAATAGGGAGGTGTTGGACAAGCTTCGCCTCGTCCAGTGGGGAGATTTTGGCTCATATCTATTCTTTCACACCCTGCATGCCATAGAATAGTAGGACCCAAATTACTCGGATATTGTTGAAATTTGCTCGCAAAGCGATCGAGTCACGTCTCGTTAAGTCACATAAGCAAGTGTAGACGTTAAAAACGAAGAGCTAGGTGTACAACATGCCACAATATATTACTTATGCCAATAGGTAGCTCAGTCTTGAATAGAGAGAGAGTGAGAGAGAGA